GGGCACGCGGCAGCGGCGCCTCAGCCACGGCCTTTTTGTCGTACGGGACAGTCTTTGCTGCCTACGGCAATTTCCGGGAGGGAGGCAGCCCGGCCAAAGTCCGTGTCCGCTGTCGACCGTTTGCTGCTGTCGTTGACTCGTTTGTGTGGAGGGGGCCCTGTCACGGAGAAAGTGGCAGCCGCTGAAAAGGCGGACTTGGCACACACGTCTCTCGAGGGTTGATGATAACGACGAAGGGGCCAGGGTTCATCGCTGGCTAACAAGCCACAGGTGCGACATGGCATGATTTTGGACCCCCGCTGCCCGTGGCTCTGGGTGGTACTAACCACGGATATGCACCCATGCATGTATGCATGCATGCATGCATCAGTGTCTGTAAGAGAATGGAGTCGGAGGAGCACGAACGAAGGAACAAACGAACGAGCGGGCGCATGCGATGGCCTGAAACGGTGACCACATGCAGCGAGCGACGCACACCAACATGAGCTCGCCATTATTGCCGTCCCCCATACTTTGACCACATGTGTCAAGTCTTCAGTAAAGCCCGCCCCTTGCCGTAGATAGATACGTTTCCCTTCTGGGCGGCGACCCCGTTTACGCCCCCCCGGCATCATCACCAGCACCAGCCCTGGCAGCCCTGGCAGCCAGTGCCGGCCGCCCATTGCTACATGTATCCCCTCCCTCCACCCCCATCGCATCGCATCCTCGCCATGCATTCCATAACGAGCAGGCCCCCGCGAAACGGGACATGGAGTATTAGATAGGAGGAGGAGGGGAAGAAAAGCTTCTTCAACAGGGTGGAGAACCGTTTCCGTCCCTCCCTCTTTTCTTCCACCCAGTCGCTGGGCTCGAGGAGGGATGGGAAACAGAGCCAACCAGCCAGCCAGCCAGCCCAGCCCAGCCCAGCCCAGCCCAGCCACCCCGTCTCGGCGGCCGCCCGAACATGCAAAATCATTCACGGAACCAGCCTTAAGATGGTCGTACGTACTGTAATAAACCCGTCGTGGGAAAGAGAGGGCGTTGAGGAGGCGGCGCCGCAGCGGAGAAGGCGGAAAGCTGAAATTGGGTTTAAACATCCCCTTTTGGCAACGCCTTTTCTGGGAGTCAGTCCCCCGGCTCCTCTGTATGGTTCAATGTACGACCATAGCACTACACCACACACACACTACCGCCTGGCTCCCGTCAAGGGAAGAGGGGGAAAAAAAAACTGGAGAGCGTGGCCGTACGTCACTGGGCGGCGCCTCCGGCTGTCGCTCGTCCTCGGGGGAGAGAGGGGGGAAGGGAGGGACGGAGGGAGGGAAAGAGAGCCGCGGCAGTTGGGGGGTGATGGTGGGTGGGTGGTGTTAGCCGCCGCGCGCGCCGCTGGGCGGGATCTGCGACCCGACGCCTTGGGAATGCCGGCCGATACGACCTGATACCCCAGTAGTAGGCAGTGGGCATGTCGGTGCGGGTGCGGGTGCGGGTGTGTGCATGTCGGCCGGCGTCTGTGACATTCCGAAATTCTTGCCTCCTTTTCGCAGGTCTTTTCGGGATTTTCGGGGCCTCCCATGGCCCCCCCCTGGCGTGTGTATGTCTATGTCTGTGTCTATCCTGACAACGGGAGGGATCCCGGCGTGTGGGCTCGCTCGAGAGCAGGTTATTCTCCGCCGTCACTCGTACGAAAAAGACCTTACCTCGGACCTTTGACGTGACGTTGGCGTGGCCGGTTCGCCGATGGGCATCTGGGGAACAGGACGGTTCTCACTGCCCCCGTTTGCGCGACCCCGGTTGCGCAACGGGGATGCATCTCTATACGAACTCGTACGTAGTAGTGATAATCTGAGCTCACGATCCAGGATGCCAGACAGGGGGACCCGACGGATGAGCGAGCACACCCACCCTTCGTGGCAGACGACGACAAGCCCAAACGGTTTTGTCTTGTCCTTGCCTTGCCATGTCTTGTCTCTGCCTTGACTTGCCCTGCCCTGCCCCGCCCCGCCCCTGTCTGCATCGTCGTCGTCGTTGATCTGTGGGGTACACCAAGAGTGTGTGTGTGTGTCTGCGTCCCCTTGGTAGCCTCGCGGAGACGGGAAGCCATGGCCCGGGAAAAGCATGATTGATTTGTTACACGCTGTCAAGTGTGAAGAAACCACCCGGTCTCCGTATCCGCATCCGTATCAGACAAGTAGGGTAGGGCTTGAGATGCCGTGCTGCCCGTGTATGGTGTGGTGGGGAGGGGCCATAACTGCAGTGACGCAGCCTTATTTATGCCTTGTCTTTGACGTTCCGGCTTCGAGGATCAACCTACGGGGATCAACTGCAAAGAACGGGGCATACATGGCCGCCAGCAGCAGGACGCCGTATGCGTGCCACACCTCGACACTCTTTCACTCAACATAGTAAAGACATGTGCGTGTGGGTGTGTCCAGACTTTCTCGGTCTATTCTCTTTCCCCCTCCGGTCTGTGCTCCTCTCCCTCGCCTCTACACTCACTCTCTATCTACAGACACTCATCCCTGCGCCTTTTGCGCGCCTCATATCGTCAACCCAGGCATCCGCTCAGGGCAGCAGCCTCTTCGGCGTGCGCGGGTAGTAGCTCGCCAGGTGCACGCTCGGCAGGTTCAGGTACCAGGCCACGACGCGGTCGAGGCCGATGCCGCCGCCGCCGTGCGGGGGCACGCCCGCGCTCTTGAACACGTCGACGTACTCCTTGATGCCCGGGCTCGCCGGGTCGATGCCCTTCTTGCGGATCCGCGCCTCCAGCAGCGACGGCACGTGGATACGCTGCCCGCCCGACAGGATCTCCTGCCCACGCATGAAGAAGTCGAAGGCGTTGGTCACCTTGGGGTCCGCCGGGTCCTCGAGCGCGTAGAACGGCCGCGCGCCCTCGGGGAACTTGTCGAGCACGTAGAAGTCGGTGTGGTACTTCTTGCGCACGATGGCGCCCAGTGCCTTCTCCTGCGGCGTCGACATGTCCTCCTCGTCGCTGACGTTGCGGAACTCCTCGGGGCCCTCGGCGCGCAGCAGAGCCTGGCCCTCGGCGAACGTCAGGCGCACCTCCTTGCCGGCCTCGGGGAGCAAGAAGTCCTCGGACGGGTAGATGGTGCGGATCAGCGCAATCTGCTCGGCGCACCGCTCGGCGAGGCCGCGGAAGATGTAGAGCAGCACGCCCTCGAGCATGTTGCGCACCTCGTGGTAGTCGTCCTCGATTTCCATTTCCAGATCGAGACCGGTGAACTGTAGGACACACAATCGCGTTAGCATGACATTCACTGCGCGCCTCACGCATCGACCACGACTCGGTCGTTCATCTAGGGTTCAACTTGCCTCGGTCATGTGTCTCGGGGTGTTGGAGTTTTCGGCGCGAAAGACGGGGCCGATGCAGTAGACGCGCTTGCGGCCGCCGGCAATCTCAATCTGCTTGTAGAACTGGGGCGACTGCGCCAGGCACGCGCTCTTCTCAAAGTATGGCAGGGTAAAGACGTTGGCACCGCCCTCGGACGCCGCGCCGATAAGACACGGCGGCTCGAACTGGTTGAAGCCCTGCGTGTCGAGGTACTCGGCGAACAGCTTGCGCGTCGCCATGCGCACGTCGGCGATGGCCTGCTGGACGGGGGCGCGCTTGTGCATGGCCGGGTTGCTCAAGTGCGTGGCCATGCTCGCGCTGGGCACGTTGTCGAGGCTCGTCGCCTCGACGCCCTTGCGGGCCTCCTCGATGGCGGCGTCCTGTGGCACCTCCTCATCGTCAAAGTTGGTGACGGCCTTGTTGGCGACGACGAGGCCCATGCCCAGGACCTCGGGGCCCGGGGCGATGAGGTAGCACTTGGCGATGTGCAGCTCGTAGTTGGAGACGCGCACGCTCTTGACGGGCTCGAGGGGCTTCTCGACGCGGGCCTCGATGAGCACGTAGCTCTCGAGGTTCAGGCCGCCGATCCACTTGACCATCTGGCGGCTGACGGGCTTGCCCTCGGGGCTCGCCGCGACGACGCCCTGGATGGCCCAGTTGCGCTCCTCGCGCAGCTCGACAAAGGCCATCTTGGCGCCCTGCATGCGCGAGTTCTGCACCCAGCCGCGCACCTTGATCGTCTTGCCCAGGTGCTCGTCGCCAATGTTCTTGAGGCTGACCCGCTCGGCGTCGACCTTGGTCTCGTGCGTCGCGTCGCCGTAGTTCTCCTTGGCCAGGTCCTCGGTGTTGCCCGCGGCGGCCTTTGCGGCGGCCTGCGCGGCCTGGTGCTCGGCGGCGCGGCGGGCCTTTTCGGCCTCCTTCTTGGCCTTGGCCTCGGCCTTCTTCAGGGCCTTCTTGGACGGGCCGGCGCCCTCCTCACCGACCACGGCGCCATCAGCGGCAGCGGCAGAGGCGGCAGGAGGGTTGGCGGCCGCGGCCTCGGACTGGGACGGCGGCGGCGTGGGGTTCTCGGCGGTCATGGTTTCGTGTGTGATCGCTCTCGTTCGAGGGGGCTTGCGGCCGACTATGGGGCGGATTCGACTGTCGGCGCCAATTGCTTTGTTAGCCGACGGAGAGACGATTGTGTTGGGTTCGGCAATGGAAAGGACGATGAGCTCGAGATGCTGCTCTTTAGCGTGGCAATGACACCCTTGGGAGGAGAGAGGTCGAAGTGACTCGACCGGCGGGACAAATTTCAGTCATGCGTCTTTGGCGGGGCACCAGAGCAATCCCGTCCAAACCCCGCCATGACGCCCTGGCCTCCGGTTGGCGGGGCCGTCTTCGCACGCATCCCACACCGTGTTCCCAAAACGGAAGTATACCACTCCATCAAAACGTGACTCTTCATTCACCACAGTGGCTAGGCCACCGTCACGCCGTTGCAACAAGACAGTCGCTGCAATAGCCCCGCTGCCCTCACGCAGGACAGCCAGCGGCTTCTTCATTACTCGATACAGGCGTCTCGTCAATAGCAAGCAAGTCTAGCAAAAGCAGCGCCCTGCTGGGAAACGCCGCAGCCTCACCGGCCTCCCATGACGACCGCAACATGTCTCGCAACTCCTGTTCCTGAACTCCGTTCCGAATGACCGCCCCCAAATCAACAGAAACCAGCCGAAGCATGAGGCCCCAGTGCATTGTATACAAGCCGTTGGGGATGTGTACAAGGTTGCCCCCGCCAGCACGAGCGCCGTCGTCGCTGCGTCACATCAGCGGCCGGCCAGTCCTCGACGCTTGAGGCCGAGGAACTACGCAAAGTGCAACGGCTCAGCCTTCTCGCAAGTAAAGAGGTTGATGTGGTGATCGCCCCGCGCAGCACAACCCAGTATCGGGCGGTGCGGGTGGAACGCCGTCGCCGAGATCGGACCTCCGCGCGTCTGCTGGAGAAAGCTCGAGTACGGCTCGAGCCGCGACAGCTCGTTGCCATCGAAGTTGAACACCTTGACCGAGTGCTGTGACGTTCCCCTATTCCATAGTTAGCGAAGTCCCGTGGGCAAGGAGGAGGAAAACTTACACTGCAAACACCGGCAGGTGCTCGTGTGTGCTGGCGGTTCGCAGCGTGTCTCGTGTCGTCTGGAATGAGTGCAGCGGCTTATCCATCCGGATGTCCCAGATCTTGACCTTGCCATTGCGGCTCGCGCTGATGAGCTCCCGCTGCCCGCCGCGCTGCATGTGGACGCTCTTAATCCATTGGCGGTCCGACTCGTCTTTCCACTTGCGCACCATCGAGTCTTGAGGTCGCTGTCGTGTATCAAACACGCGCACCGCTCCGTCGCCGAACCCAGCAACAAAGACGTTGCCAGTCATTTGGTCCGAGGTAAGCGAGGTCACGCACGAGCCCGATCGGGCGGGAATGTCCATTATGCACGTCTCGTGCGCCGCGTACCACACGCGGATGACCCTGACATCGCCCGCGACCAGCACCCTGCCCGTTACCTGCTGCCAGTCGAACACCATGCCCGAATTGACGTTGCTGGGTACCATGTGCGTCAGCGCCCTCCACGAAGTGGCAAGCTCAATGTTCTTGTCCGAGTCGTAGTTTCGGTAGACGCGAATCACGCCATCCGATGACCCGGTCAGCAGGAACGCCAGGTCATCCTCGTTGATAAACTTCATGTCGCTGATCTTGGAGCCCTCGGGGTTGCCGTTGCTGAACTTGCTCAGCCGGCCCTGCTTCTTCCAGTCCCACACGTATACGGTGTTCCCGTCGTCTGACACCGCGAGGTGATCCTCGTACTGATGGAAGGTCATCTTCGCAGGCTGGGCACCATTGTTGACAATGCCTAGCTGATTATTCCACTTGTGCGTACCGGCGAGCGCCTTCAGCGGCTGCGTTTCCCGCAGCATATTCTCGTTCCGCGCTCTTCGCCACAGACGTTCGTTGTACTCGGTGCTTCCAGGCTCGTCCGCCTCGCTGGCCTTCATCTGAGGCTCGCGGAAATATTCGATTGACCACTCGAGGAATCCGCTCTTCAGTGGCAGCGTAGGCAGCTTTGTGAGATCTCTCGCCTGGTAGGCACCAGACAGCGGTTCGCGCGCGACATTGTACGATGCAGGGGTGCCGTACAGATCGTTTTGCTCAGGCGGCGCCGACACTTGATCAGCAGGCACCTTGGCTGACGGAGACTTGGGCGGCACCGGACTTGACGGCGTGGTCGGCCGGGACTTGTCCTCCGTGCCGATAAAGGACTGGAGGAACAGGCTCGCTGTCCGCCGCAGGATGCCCGGCGAAGGCAAGGGGGGAGTGTTGGGTGCTCCTCGCAGCGAGTTCCTTTGACTTGCAGTAGCTGCCTGGCGCTGTGCCGTCCTGTTTGCGCGAAGCTGAATCTCCCGCATCAGGGCCTGCGCCGACTCCCCGACTGCAGAACTGATAAGGGCGTTGTGCACGTAGTCGACGATAATCGTGGCGTCGCGCTGCACTTCTGGGTGCGGGTCGACGCTGAGAATAAGCGCGTGTTTCCAGCAGGCCATGTAGACGGTATTGTGCGACAGGCCGTGCGAGGTGGCCTTGATGGTGCCGTCCTTGTTTCTGTTCTCGGGTCTCGTGTAATGCAGGCCCATCTTGTGCTCCTGGCCATCGTCCTGCGGCGGGAACAACAGGTAGTCCTTTTCTTCTTGAAGTTGGTCAAAGGCCGCGACCAGAAACTTGTTCTCGAATCGGACGATGAACTGCGAGAGGAACACCAGGAACTCCTTGCGCACCATTGGGCTGCCGTCGGTGCCCATGTCCAGGATGGTCCATGCGATGGACTCTTCGATGCGCGCCACCTCGTCCGTGAGGTCAGGGATGCCCAGGAATGTGGTCATCGCATGCACCATAGCCGCACGAACTTCACAGCAAGGATCGCGAATAAGATAGGCCAGCTTGACGTAGGCATTCTCCCGGATGCCTCGCCACTTCGCCTCGGGGAGGTCTTGCCAAAGCTGGCTGATGCAGAGACACGCCCACTGGCGCAGAAGCGGATTGCTTTCGTTCTGCAAGTGGAAGAGGCAGTAGGACATGATGTCCATCTGGTTGCACACCATCTGGCCGTTCTTGTAGTCCTTGCAGAGCATGGCAAGGATGAAGGCACACATGGCCTTGTGCTCGTCGCTGTCAACAACGGGAAGACCTTCTGATGGCTTCAGGATCTGGGCAAAGTAGCCATATCCACTGTCCTTGATGAGATCCTGTTGGCAAGAGATGTCCACCGCGATGAGGCGTGCCCAGATGAAAACCATGACGGGCTTGAGCTCCGCAGCCGCCGACTGCAGAAGCTTGAGAACGTATGGGAAGATTCCTATACTCAGGGCGAGCTGCACCGACCATGGACCGAGGTCCAAGAACCTGCCAAGAAGAATGAGGGCTCTCACTCGATGCTGCTGGCTCAACAGCACCTGCAATACAACCGGAAGCTGGTCCGGCGGCTTCTGGGCCATTGCGTCTCCCCTGGTCAGGTAGACGTCAAAGGCGGTAAGCTGCTCTGTGAAGAATGTCGAATTGTGATATTCGTAGTCGATTCCCTCGCTCTCCTTCTTCTCCAGCATCGGCAGCTGCGCCAGTGCCATGTCGACGGCGAGATCCCACGTCTCCCAAAGCGGGTGTTGGTGGGTATCGGGCAGCGCCGGGTAAGACTGCGGGTGGCAGCCGTACACAGTCATGACGCGCTGCGCCAGGAGGAAGTTGCGGAACAGGGCCGCAACCATCAAATCCTGCCTGAAGAACTTGCGGAACAGATCCCGGGGCAGCGTGGTCCATGCGATGCTGTCCGTAATAGCCGTGAAGATCCAATTGAGCTCGCCCAGCGGGGTGCGTCTCTCCTGAAGGCGCCCCGGCAGCTGCTTCGCTCGCTCGGGTGTGAGGTTCGTCTTCAGCGGGTTTTGAAGTACGAAAAACCATAGTGCCATTTCAATCGGCGTTGTCAGACAGGCCGTAAAGAGGTCGGCGGGCAACAGTGGGTTCGTAGGCAGGTTCTCCTTGACGGCGCAGGCTGCTAGATGGATGTATGGGCGGAAGCTGGTTTTTTCGTAGTGAGGGTCGCGCGCGGCGGCCTCCTCTTCCTCTTCCTCATGCTTCTCGACGAAGCGGTGATAGTTATTGAGTATGTTGCCGGCTTCGGAGCAGTCCCAGACGAATATCGTTGGAGCCTGCAGCCAGTGCTGCAAGTCGTACAGGCTGACGGGAATGTACTGCGTATAATTCTTGTTGAACACCCATATCTCGCCCGAGGCGGTGGGCTTCGGGACGCCGTGGCCGTTGTAGTGCAGCAACACGCGCTCATCCTTGGCGTTGCGGCGTAGGGAGACGCAGAACTTCTTAGTTTCCTCAACGGACGGATCCAGATACTGCTTGTAGCGAGCTCTGATCGCCAGCGTTTCGTATTGGGCCTGGAGAGCCTTGCCAATGTTCTCGAGCGCCTTTTGAATAGGCGGTACCGTTGGATCGGTCCACGCCTCGAGCTTGGCACCGGGAGTTGTCTTGAGCTGGTCCGGAGGCTCCACGCCGATGTTCAGACAGACGGCCAACGCGGCGGACACGGTCTTGAGCCGGTCCCGCTGACGCCAGTCCTGCAGCTCGTACTCGAGTTTCTTGGGCTTCCCGGTCGTCTCGTGTCGCTTGTCGGTAAAGTACATGTACCAATTCTAGAGATTTGTGGTTAGCTGGTCTCCTTACTAAACGTATGCGCGCAAGCGCTCGCCACTCGCTCGGCACCAGGTGCAGAGCGCGAAAGGGCGCCACCTACATTCACAAGCTGGGATATTATATGCTCGGACTGGTAATGGTCCTCGAAGCCGTGCCTGGCTCCCCAGGCCGGGACCTCGTCGTCGACGTCGTCGTCATCTTCTGTTTGGCGCGACGGGCGGTAATCGCTCTTTGAGCGCAGGAGCTGGGGCTTGGTCGGGCGCTTCGGCCGGTCGTGCCCAAAATCGTCTCTCGCCTCGCCTGTGAGCGCGATGCCGTTCTTACGGCCAGGGGCGCTTGAGGGCCGCCTATCGTCGTGATCGGAGGAGGCGTCGTTGTCGGCGCTGCTGTCGCCTTGGGCACGGAACCTCGACGTCTCGCCATTGGTGACAGTGGCGGCCGAGGGCAGCGAGCCGTGGGTGTCGGATCGTAACGTCATGCCTGCTGCTACTGCTGCTGCATCTCCGGGCGGCGGGCGCGGTCTTCGGGGGAGCAGATTGGTATCTGCGTGCGCATGCGACGCCGCCGTGCGAGGACGTTGGTGCGTCGACGTCCTCGGGGCGCTGGAGGCGTGTCGAGGCTGGTGTGGAGACGGCAGCGTGGACTGGGTCGCCACGACGGTCATTCTACTCGCGGCACTCGTAGTGGCGGCTTCCGGGCGAGCGTCGACGGCGGCGCTAACGGGACACCTCAAGCCCGCGCGGTCATGCTCGAGTGGAATGCGCCCGAGGAGAGCGGCGCGAGGCAGGTGTGCGCTGGGTTGGGTTGAGTCGAGTTGAGCTGCGAATGTGGTTGCGGTGCGGCAGTTCGACGTTGTTTAGAGTTTGGGCAATCACAAGGAAGCGGCGGGCGGCTGACCATCTCGAGGTGCACAGTGCCCCGGTGCTCGTGTGCAGCCAAGGCATGTACCTTTGTACGCAGGCGGGAGGTGAATTGCGGTGCGATGGGACGGGCGCCCCTCCCACCCCAGCTTGGCCCAGCGGGAGGGCAGCTTGGGCACGCGGCTGGGCCAGGCAGCACCCGGCTTGACCGCAGACGCTCCGGGGCCCCACCACAGCTGTGCCAGCGACCCCAGGGCAGCGCATCCCGCCCCCAGCCGGCAGCTGGCAGCTGGCACGGCGCTGGGACAGCCGCACATGTCCACGACACGGATGGGCATCCGATGTTACCTCAAACAGCACGCCGAGCCGTGTTCCCTGCCTCGACTGGAAACCCCGCGATCGATGCGGCTGGGCAGTGTGTCGGCTTGCTAGGCCCTCGCGACCCGGCTCCAGGTACGGAGTACAAGGACCGTACAGTGCTTCGTACAGTGCGTGCTGTACAATACGGTACCTGGGAGGAGGAGTGCATCCGCGGCAAGGAAGCATCACCTGGATGGGCGGCGACTTGTCCGGTGTTGGCCGGCCATACTCGGCAGCACGCAGTCCTCTGCAAGAAACCCCTGCCAGCGGCCGCAGACATCGCCTCACTGTTTGCCCGGCTTTAGTCGTCCACGGGATGCAGATGTGAGGCTGCACGCGGCGCGGTGACTCAACGAGCACTCCCAAGTACATTGCACGTCGGATGCAGTCATTCACCAAGCGGCCAATGCTTACCTGCCCAAGTGACGCAGCATCCTGCCTTGCGTCCCGACGCTGTCCAAATACTGGTGCCTTTCATACTCGTGCTGCACCAACATTCTTCCCATACCAAAAAAACACCAAGGGTCGAGCCGGGCACTCCTGGCACTGGAATGCACGAGTTGCTTTGTCTGGGACTCTAGGGTTGACCGACTCAAACCCACGTTCCGTTCAGCACCACGTGAGCAGCTCGCGATGCTCGCCACGACATGCCTCGACCGCCTACCGTGACATGGCAAGCTCGCCACCACTTGGCGGCCTCGGGCCCGGGCACCGTGTAGATTCAACGTGGCTGCGTCGCTCACCGCATCTTCCACGGCGTCGTGCCGGCCCGCGCACCACGTCTCGATGCAAACGCGCCCGCATGCAGCAACCGCTGCGGAGTGAGCTGGCGATAGACCGAGACATGCTTCCGCCACCGCACCGCTTCCCCGGTTCGGTGGAAGTCTCATCTCAGGATTCGTACGAAGCACTGTGCTGTCCTTCATACATGTAATTGCTCATGGCCAATGGCAGATGTGGGAGCCGCCGACCGTTGCACGGCGTCCGCCCGGGCGGTGCGCGGGGAAGAGGGAGCATGACCGGGCATGGTACGAAGTGCCTACCTGGCAAACAGGATCCGATGGCCTGGCAGGCGGGCTCATGCTCTGCCGAGTGTTGGTCTGGCATCTCGCGGGCGACATGCGCGACCAGCGTCTTCCAGTCGGGTGTCAACATGCGAACTGTAACGGAGGTCAGCAGTCGAGCCTCATTGCCCCGTGGGCCTTTTTGTTTGAATCGACGTCGCAGAGCTGCCGTAGCCTAGACAGATGCGCCTCTCACACGTTCGACGGTTCGATCGGCAGAGACATGAAAAGGGCCACGCTTGATCTGATAAGCGCCAGGCGTTTGAATCGCCGCCACACGTGCTCGCTGACTCGCCGCTCCGGAAACGGCAGGTGTCGAAGCTCAACTGGTGGCGCCGCCGTCGAGTCGGCCGTCGAGTTGGCAGCCAGAGCTGGGTGGTTCGGCCCGCGCCTCAGACTCCGCTGACGGCGAAACTCAAAATGGTACGGAGGATGTCGCTGGTGAGCGCAGCCCCGGTCCGTCGACGGCCGCGGCCGGAGTGCCATGGCCTCGGAGGCCACCCGGCGACCTGTGCCCACAGGGCAGCAGCCGATGGGCCAAAGAAATGAGGAGCGGAATGAACAAAGACGAGAGGTGCCGGGGGTGGTTGGAATGGGAGGCGCCGTCTCGTCACCCAACCCACCCAGGAGACCGAGCGACGTCGCCGCCGCCGACAGCCCGTCTGGCCGTGATGGTTGCAGTTGCAGATCGATGGCCACGACAAATGCCGGCCTGCCATCTGGCTGCTTGCTGCCGTGCCGAGACGCGAGTGCTCGACAAAGTCTGCTAGTACTACGAGTAATGGCCAGACACTTGCACGGCACCGCGCACGCACTTCACGCACATCATCTCTGCATCGCGCGCGAACCGGCCTGGCGGATGGATGTCATGGTCTGGCACTGTTTTACCCTTAATTTCTCGACGGGCGAGCGCCTTCGTCAAGGCCCCTGCTCGGTGGTGGTGACGCAGAATACGGCACAGTGACCTGCCCTTGCATGACGGCTCCAGCCCCCGGCTGGTACCCGGCCGGTCCTCCCTCCGCGAAAAGGGGCAGTCCCCACAACGTGGAAGGCACTCGCGCTGTTGCATGCGCGACCGAGTGTGTTAGCGCACGCGCGTGGGCCGGGCAGCCCCCCCCAAGCGCCCCCGAGCGCCCCCCCAAGGACCTGTCTGCGGGTGAGACGGCGCCTTCAATTGGCCGCTGGCGCATCAGGGGACCCTGTTTCCTCCTCCGCTCTGATGCGTCTGCCCCTGACATGATTTGACCTCAGGAGGGACGGGCTGGTCGAGGGCAGAGGGAGCGTCGCGGACGGTGGTGATAGGCGAAACTGACGGCGGCTGGCTCGGGGGGAGAGGGGGCATTCGCATGTCGCGGGTCGCGGGTCGCGGACGGACGTGCGCTGGGCTCGTCATTTACCCTCGGCGGCGGTTTGCTGTAATTAAGCACTCCGTAGTGAGGTGCTCTGCGGAAGTATCGTACAATGCGTTTCGTCATCGTCAGGTCGTCCGTTCGGTGGTGGTTGCGCTGCGCCCCCACTGACCCAGCCCACGACATGCAATGGACGCTGTCAGGGCCGGCGCCCAGGAACAAAGCAAAGGCGACAAGGAAAGGGGACGGGCGCAGAAGAAAGGCTGAGAGTGAGGTGGGCGGGCTCAAGCCGTTGTTGGTGACGGGCACACAGGCACACACGCCGTGAGGTGGACAGCATGACGGGCAGCAGCTCGCCCGCCAGCCCAGCCCGTCAAAGCAACCACTCATCATCACCTCGCGCGCTTCCAAGCTTGTCACCTCACCAGCCCCGAACCGCGTGGTGGTGGGACGCCGGCCCTGGAACATGAGTGGGCTGAACCTCTTACGGGGTGCGATCGCCCCAGCCCAGCCCACCTGCACCCACCGTTGGCGGCGCTCTCAGCCTCCCCCAGTCCACCACCTGAGGTACCTTAGACACCCACTGCCTGCAGCTGCAGCGCACCCCGTTCGCCGTCACTCCCTGTGAGGCGGCGTGCCTGCCTTTCTTTAGCCTCCACTGCGTGCTCTCTCGCCTCCTCTCCCCTGAACCGAAACCCCCTCTGGAATCCCACCTCCCGAAAAAGTCGGCGGCTGGCCAAAATTTCGGGTTGACAACATCCGCGGGCTGGTCCACCGATGCTCAACCAGCCATCTTCAGACTCGAGCTGCGGTTCACCCGTCCTTCTTTGCATCGTCGGCCGTTGGCTCTGCTGCTGACCTGACGCCGCGCCCACCACCGCCATCGCACCACCCGCAACATCGCGCCGCCCCGGCCTGCCCAGCCTGGCCTTGCACCTCTGGCTCTCTAGCTCACTGTCCTCCCCCGGCCTCGACCTCCCCGAGCCACGACGTCCTTGGGCCACGCATCCGGATCGCAAACCATCCACCGGCTGCTTTCGCATCGTCGGCGCATCCCCCCGAACCCGAGACGAAAGCATATCACTTGGACAGCGATCGCACCCAGCCTTGAGCGCCGCGGCTTCAATCCAACCGCCGCCGAGCGGTCCTCCCCCCTCCCGCCTAGCCGAACATGGCCTTCCTCTTCAAGTCCAAGAAGAGCCAGGACCGGGCGCTGTCGAGTCGCGATGGCAATTCTGGCTCCCAAGGCTCCATCCAGAGTGCCGGATCTCGCATGGCCCGCGACGAGAAGGGCGCCCTGGTGCAGCGTTCGACGCCCACGGGCAGCCTCAACTCTCTAGACAATGATGGCAGCGTCGGAAGCCCAGATCGCGGCCATGGCCGCCGCGGAGGAAGCGTCGACAACACGCAACCCAGCGACTTGCCTGTGAGTATTGCCGAACCACCCCCGCGGAGCCGTCGCCATCCGTCGCAGCTCCCTCTGCCCTTGAGGAGAGCGCAGTCCCTAATGACCCTTCCGCAGCTTCGAAACGGACCCCAACCAACAAACCCGAATGCGTCCCTCTACCCCTGGTCGCAACGCCGGTTAACCTACACCACTTCGCACCCGAGTCCCTTCCCCCGCTATGGCGCCGCCGTCAATGCGACGTCGTCCAAGGAGGGCGATATATACATGATGGGCGGCCTCATCAACAGCTCGACCGTCAAGGGCGATCTCTGGATGATTGAGGCCGGCGGCAACATGGCTTGTTATCCGCTTGCGACGACTGCAGAGGGCCCGGGGCCAAGAGTCGGCCACGCCAGCTTGCTCGTCGGCAACGCATTCATTGTCTACGGCGGCGACACCAAGATTGAGGAGTCGGACGCGCTGGACGAGACGCTCTATCTCCTAAATACTTGTAAGTGCTTGAGAATGAATCTGAGATACGTGCCTGCCATGCGCCTTGCTAACGCACTCGCTTGCAGCAACCCGACATTGGTCGCGCGCGCTGCCTGCCGGCCCTCGCCCCTCCGGACGCTATGGGCACTCTCTGAACATCCTTGGCTCCAAGATCTTCATCTTCGGCGGTCAGGTTGAGGGCCACTTCATGAATGACCTCTCCGCTTTCGACCTGAACCAGCTGCAAATGCCCAACAACCGTTGGGAGATCCTATTACAAGGCGAGGCGTCGCCAAAAGCGCCGGCCGCGCGCACGAACCACTCAATGGTCACATACAACGACAAGATGTACCTGTAAGTTCGCATTCTCACGTGGCTCTACCTTTGCGCCTCAGATACTCACACCGTTGCAGGTTTGGTGGCACAAACGGTTACCAATGGTTCAATGACGTCTGGTGCTACGACCCGGCCATTAACACATGGGCGCAGCTGGATTGCATAGGCTACATCCCTGCCCCTCGAGAGGGGCACGCCGCCTCTCTCGTGGACGATGTTATGTACGTCTTTGGCGGTCGCACGGAGGAGGGCAGCGATTTGGGAGACCTTGCCGCCTTCAGGATATCCACGCGAAGGTGGTACACATTTCAAAACATGGGCCCGTCTCCATCTCCGCGTTCTGGCCACAGCATGACGACGGTTGGCAAGTCGATTGTGGTTCTTGGCGGCGAACCGAGCTCCGCGGCGTCCGCCATCAACGACCTCGGCATTCTCTACGTCCTGGACACGAGTAAGATCCGCTACCCCAACGACAGCCAACAAGGCGCACAAAAGATTACTCAGGGCCGCCGGCCGAGCGCGAGTGATGTGCAGAATCCTCCCCGCGCGATGCCGGCTCGAGATGGCTCTACCGGCCCTTCAGACTCTAGAAAAGGCAGCGGCGGCGCAATCGCTCCCATGGTCAGCCCTACGAATGGGCACAAGTCACCCCCGCCCGGCGTCGATCCTCGCGCTTCCCCGATCTCTGGAGGCCCGGGCCCGGCTGCGGCCAAGCCTCGCGCCGCCCTGACCTCCAGCCCGGCAGGACCACCTCCATCAGGCCCGACACCCGCCAAGCCCACGGGCGATCAGTCATCGAGCATCGGACGAGTCCGTGGGCTATCCGCCGACCGTGCTGGCGCAGCGGGCCCTGGCCAACCCCCGGTATCGCTCGACGCAGTTCCTGAAAGCGCGGCTGCGGCTGCGACAGTCAACGGTCGCCGGACGCCCACGCACCCGGCCCGCGGACCTACAAAGCAGGAGCCACCTGCTGTCGAGCCCGCAAAGGCCAAGCAGACTCGTCACGGTCAGTCATCAGGCTCCGTCGATAGCTCAGCGGAAGCCGCAGCACGGGCCGTGAGACCATCCTCACCCCCGCCGCCTACACGGCAGCCGAGCAACCCCTTGTCCAGGCGGTCGTCTGGTCGCAACTCCCAGACGGTTGCCCTTCTCAAAGAGCTGGACGCTTCACGGAACAGGAATGCTTGGTATGCTTCAGAGCTCGAACTGGCCCGCAAGTCGGGTTACGTTTCGACCGCGACGTTCAGCCCGACTCTCGATGCCAAGGCCGCTGAAACTTTTGACGATGAGGATCGACCTTTGATAGAGGCTCTCCTGGCCATGCGAACCGAGCTGGCCAACGTCCAAAGCGCCGTGGATAAGCAGGCTGTTCTGTCTGCGAAGCAGATTGCCGAGGCCGAGAAGCAGCGCGATGCAGCGATTCAGGAGGCGGTCTACGCCAAGGCCAGGCTCACTGCCTATCACGGGGGATCTGCCAACAGCACTCCGCAACTCGACCGCGAGCGAGAAGACGGTGGCTACAGGGAGAGCGAGCTGAGCAAGAAGCTTGCCTCGGCGCTGCACGTTCAGAGAAGTCTCCAGTCGCAGCTGGAAACCGCCAGGAGCGAGTTGGAGGCAGAAAAGAAGGCTCGAAAACTCGCCGATGACACGACCAGCGCGGCGCAAAGGCGCATGGGGGATCTCGAGACCTACAAGCAGCAGACCTCAACCGAGGTCGAGCGGCTCAAGGCCGAGCTGCATCTCGTGCAGCGCGAGGCCCGGGACCAGTCGGTCTCGTGTGCTGAGGCCGTCGCGGCCCTCGAGCTTCTCAAGATCGAAAAGGAGGACTTTGCGACCAAGTACGATGAGGCCGTTGGCAGTGCCAAGGACCACAACGAGAGTTTCCAGTCCTTGCGGGACGCCATCGCTGCATCCGAAGATGCCAGAACACACCTTGAGCAGAAGCTCGAGGAGGAGCGCGCCCAGAAGCAAGACATCGAGGCCAAGTTGAACCAGCTGAAGGCAGAGCACGAAGCACGCACAACAGAACTCGTCTCGACCACGCAGCGTCTACGGGACGCCGAAGAGCTTGCCGAACGGCACGCCAACGAGGCCAAGACCCATCGCCAAGCCGTGCTGGCAGGTCTCGACAAGATCTCGGCAAGGGATGTTAGCGCCGTCGGCAAGGCGGACACGGAGCGCCTGGGCGCGCTCCAGAACCAGGTCGCTGCCGCGAACGCATTGGTCAAGAAGTACCAGCAGGAGGCAGACAGCGCCGCTGCTAAGCTTCGAAGCGCCGAGGAGCGCATTGCTGGCCTGGAGCAGTACCAGGAGCAGGCCAGTCGCGAAGGCGTGACCATCAGGAGGCAGCTGCAGTCGTCCCTTCGCGAGGTGCAGTCCCTGCAAGCTGCGCATTCAGATGTCAAGAACCAGCTGGCAGCCCAGCAGCTTGAGACGAACGCCATGACGGTGCAGCACAACGCACTCAAGGACATCCTCAACGAGCGGGGCATCAGTCCGACGAGCGCCGTGCGCGGCCGTGGCCTCACGAGCCCGCGAGACATGTCTCCCGAGCAGACTCGAATGCGGGACCTCGAGATGCAGCTCGCCAGCACCACGGCGGCACATGAGGAGGTCAAGCAGGCCTTTGCGGCGCAGGCGCAAGAGTCGGAGCTTGCGTATCGTGAGAAGCTTTCACAGCTCGAGAGCGACTATCAGTCGGCCGTGCACTATGTCAAGGGAACCGAAAAGATGCTTAAGCAGCTCAAGGACCAGCTGTCTCGCTACAAGACCGACAATGGCCGCCTCAAGGCCGAGATCGAGGAGCTCGAGAGCCGAGCCCAAGACGACGGTGACAGGTCGGAGGCACCCGCCCACTGGGAAAATGAACGCGACGCTCTCCACAAGAGGATCGAGGGTCTCGAAGCGGAGCTGCGGAACTCGAGCGCACAGCTGGACAAGAACCTGCAGTCTCTGAGGGCGGATCTGGCCGAGAGCAACCGGCAGCGAGACGAGGCGGCCAAGTCTGCCACGACGCATCGCAAGGATCTCGAGCAGCTCCAGTCGGAGAACGCCCTCCTGGAACAGCGCGCCACCGATGCGGAGCAAAAGGTCTCGCTTCTTCTCGACCAAGTCGAGCATTCGGTGGACAGCTACCGCCGCCGCAGCCGCCAGCTGCCGGCCGAGGCCGTCGCCGAGGTCACCTCGTCTGCCAACGGCCTGGGCGGCCATGTCCGCAGTGAAAGCTCCGGAACGGAGAGCGCGTACGGTGGCAACGGCCTCGACGGCAGGGACAGCGCCGCCCTGGACAACCTCGCGAGCGAGCTGGAGACGCTGCGCAGCCACTGGGAGGCGACTAACAAGAACTACCGGCTGAGCACCAACTTCGACTTTGACCAGCCGACGCCCGTCGGCAAGAAGGACGACGATGCCGCCCCAGGGGCCGGCCTAGGTCTGAGCGAGAGCCTCGCTGACTGGAGGAAGCGACTCGACACCGATGACCACCAGACCGGCCCGGACAAGCCACACCAAAACTAATTCCGGGACTTCCCTGCTACGTGCATTCATGACCATGCATTCACACGATATACCCCGCGGACCTTTTTGTTCTTATTTCCTCCTTTCCAGCCGTCGCTCAGCGCATATACGAGTTTGGCGACGTCTTGTACATTTCATCAGCCTGCCGCTTTCAACCCTCGCTCTCTCGGTCGAGGGCTGAGGCAGGGCTTCGGAGTTTGTGGGAAATGAGTCGACTTGTTTCTTGCCTCGTTCCGTTTCCCTTTGCCGGCCGTTTCTTTCTCGTTACTCCTTGTTCACTCTTCTCATCGCGAGTGCTGGATACAGCTCTCGCTTCAATGTCTAAGTCTAAAAACTGTCGTTTTGAAGCAACATTATCGACGCTTTCTCTTTCACGGGTTCCTCCTCACTGCGCGGCGAGGGGGAAGGGGTGTCGCCGTCACGGTGCTTTGCGCGCGGTCCGCGGGCGCATTTTCAAGCACGCGAGCGTTTTATCTGCCCCTCGGTCCCTCTGTATCTCTGTATCCCCGTCTCTGTCTCTCTCCACGTCTGCCACCCTCTCTGGGCCTAGTGCCGTGAGCGGAGGGAAGACGTTTTTTGCCTTTGAGCATTTACAGAGGTTGTTTGGAACCCCCGCCTCCTGTGGTGGGCGGGTTTTGAGGTTGGGGCTCGGGTCCTTGTTTTGCGGGAGGATGGACGGAGGATGAAGGGAGGGGGCGCGGCGCTTTTTCTGTGTGGCTGGCTCTGTGTCTTTGCGTTGTTCTTTCTTCTTTATTCACTCACGTGCCAAAGGGACGGCTCTGGCTAGCTAGGGCTTGCTTGAATGATGAAATGAGTTTCTTGAGATGATGATGATGACGATGAAGATGATGAAAATTGATTGTGGTGTGTTACGGGTTCTCTGGGTCTGCTGGGTCCGCTGGAAGATAGTTGGTTGTCTGCTTGATCTTGGATGCGTGAATATCTGACATTATACGGAGGTTAGGCCTAAAATAAACGAGACTCGGCCCTACTGTTACGTGAGCACCGTACCGTGCGATTAAAAAGTGGGTCTCGTAGCTATAAGACCTATAAAACAGCTATAGACCCACTTTTCCGTCAATAAGGACCCCGCTAAGCACCCCTCTAAGCACCCCTTTAAGTACCTCTTAAATATCCCTCTAAGCAGCCCTTAAAGTAGCCCTTAAAGTAGCCCTTAAAGCAGCCCTTAAAGTAGCCCTTAAAGTAGCCTTTTCGCCCTCTCTTATATATATATATAGCCTATCGGAGCTTAGAGCCTCTTTCTTCCGTAGCTGCCGCGGGCTTCGATAACTTCTTCCGCCGCCGTAGCCCTCGCTAGGCCTGACTTCCTTCCTTTAATATCTCTCTTACGTATATATAGGTAGGCTACTTCTATAGACCTCTTTAAACGGCTCTTTTACTTATATATATATATATATAGCGCCTATCGGGCCTAGGGCCTCGTTTTTTTATTATCGCTATCGTCTTTTTCTCTCGCCGCTATAGCCCCCGCCGGGCCCGACTTCCTTCCTTTAATATCTCTCTTATATATATATAAGTAGGCTACTTCTACGGACCTCTTTAAACAGCTCTTTTACTTATATATATATATATATATAGCGCCTATCGGGCTTAGGGCCTCGTTTTTCTATCGTCGCTATCGTCTTCTTCTCCTATCGCTATAGCCCCCGCCGGGCCCGACTTCCTTCTTTTAATATCTCTCTTACGTATATATAGGTAAGCTACTTCTATAGACCTCTTTAAACGGCTCTTTTACTTATATATATATATATATAGCGCCTATTAGGCCTAGGGCCTCGTTTTTCCGTTATCGCTATCGTCTTCTTCTCCTGCCGCTATAGCCCCTACCGGGCCTAACTTTCTTTCTTTAACATTATATATATATATATACGTAAGTAAGTAGCTTCTATATCTCTTTAAACTACCCTTTAAACTGCCCTTTAAACTGCCCTTTAAACTACCTATAGGTATATAAGGCGGTAGAAACGGGCGGTAAAGGTAAAAGTAGGTCTATATAGCTATACATAACTACCTAAGACTTATTTTTACCTTTACCGCCTGTTTTTATTACTTTATATACTTATTTAATTGCCCCTTTACCTACCTTACTAAAGACCTCGTTTTCTCTCTCTTATATATATATATATAGACCTCTTCTAAAAGCTCTCTTACTTATATATATATATATATATATATATATATATATATATATATATAAAGGCATAAGTAAGTTATATCTTTCCTTCTATCTTTACTGCCGCTAGTAGTATAAATAAGTTATATCTTTCTTTCTATTTCTTTTCTTTCTATTAAATATACTATATATCTCCTTGCCTTACTATAAGGTATCCTTATAAGACCTCTATCTTTCTTCTTTGCGGGTTCGTCTATATAGTAGTAAGTATACTTAATTAGCGTTATTAGACCGTTAGTAAACGCCCTTTATTTACTTTTAATAATTAAGCTCCTTACCTTCTAAACTATAGTATATAAGTAAAGCTTAGGGGCGATTATAGTATAATAAATTAGTTATTTAATAAAAAGAAGAAGAAAGTTAGTTATCGCGAGAACCTTTATATTAATGCTTATTACCCTATTTTCTTTATCTTTAATGCTTTTTCCTTAGCTTTTATCTTTAATATTATTTCTTTAGCTTCTATCTTTAATACTATTTCCTTAGCCTTACTTTTACCTTTAGTCTTTAGCGCTATTTCCTTTACCTTTTTTGCGTTTTTATACTTTAGCCTTTCTAGCTCGCTATTCTTAATAGTCTAGTTAATCTCTATATAGAGACTAGCTTATTCCTCTTTTATTATCTTTAATAGCAGAATTCCTTCTTTATATTAGTTCCCCCCTTAAAGGTAAAGGACCTATTAGATATTTTATTATATTTACTCTATAAGCTTATATAGCTTATCTTAAGGATAGTCTTCTTAAGCCTATATCTAGTTATCTTAGAGCTCTTTCTATAAGGTCCTTATTATAACGGAGCCTAGGTAGGGTCCTAAGGTTTACTATTACTTAAGAGATAAGCTAGGCTTAATGAGTAATAAACGATTTATAAGAGTCCATTAAGAAGCTTTAAAGACTTCTTATTTAAATAAATACTTAGATTAATTATTAAAGATCTAGCTATCTACTTTTAGGTAGAGACTATAGTATATATATCTATCTAGCTCTTCCGTAATCCCTTTAATTATATAATAATTACTTTAATCTATAGTATTAATTAAGGTAATCGAGGTATAATCCTTTTAATTACCTTTAATTATCTTTATAATTACGTAACTCTAGGAGTCCTTTTTAGTTATTTATCCTTACTTAATTAGCTAACGGGCCGCTTTATATTTAGTATCCTTAATTAAGCTAACTCCCTCCTATATATAGCGTTTATAATATTATTCCCTTCCTTCCTTAATCTTATCCTTAAGGCTATATAAATAGGTCGCATTACTTCTATATATATAAGTTTATTCCTTTCCTCTTTTATAGCTTATTATATCGTCTAACCGTATTTTTAAGTAAAGAGCGAAAATAAAATCGTCGTCTATTTATCGTAATAACTTTCTTACTTCGATCCTTAATAACCCTTACGTCCTTACTATACTATTATATTTATACTATTAATTATAAGGCTTAATATAATATTAAGCGTTACTACTCGATTCTAGCCGCTATATATAGTATATTAAAGATAACTAGTCTTAGTACGATATCTTAAGGATATCGCTATTATAACTATAGGGTATCGCCGAGTAATATTTAAAGTTAGAATAGGAGTTAGAAGAGGCTAAGGAAAAGGCTTTAGCTAAATAATAATAGGTATTATAGCTTTATAAGTAGAAGAAGATATAGTTTAAGAAGATAATATAGGCTATCTTATAGGGAATCGATAGTATCGAGGAGCTAAAGCGGGTTAAGCGAGAGGAAGCCGAGAAGGAGTAACGTTACGTTAAAGGGGCTTATCTTACTTCGACTAACTTTAAGCGGCTTCCTTTAGAGTTTATCGGAGAGTAAGATATAGTTTATCTTAAGGTTACGTTATCTCCTTTAGTTTTAACTAAGTTTAGTTTTATTAATAGAATTAATATATTAATTAAGGGCACTTCCTTAAGTAAGAGCTAAGTTCCTATATATTTTCTATATAGTTATAGCCTTTTTATTTAATAAAATATTCTATTCTTTATAATATTCTTTATAAATTTAGTATTTATTTAATATTATATTCTTAGGATTCTTCGATTTCGATATTTATTTCGAGGGCTACTTTCTTTAGCGCTAGTTTTAATAGCGAGATATAAAAAATAGGGTATATCCTTATTTCTTAAGGTAGGAATAGTTTATAGCTAACGTCTAATAGTTTCTTTTAGATCTTAAATAGTCTAAGTTTCTTTTAGTTAAGTTTTTCGCTAGGTTATTTTATTTTAATATTTTATCGGAAGAGATATACTTTATCCCCTTCCTTTAAAGTTAGTCTTTTTAATCTCTTTTAGTCGGTATAATACTTTATTTTATTTTAAAGGAAAATCTATTCTTATTATAAGTAAGTATATATTTATTAAAGCGATATAGCTATTTTCGTTACTTATAGTATATTAACTTTTAGTTATTAAACTATAATCGTAAGGTTATACTTATAGTTTACTTTAAATAGCGTTATTTTAATTGCCTCATTATTTAAGCTATTATAAGCCTATTATACTATAAGTAGTAATTCTATTTAATTATCTTAGTTATAATTAATATAAGATCGTAAATATTATTTAAGCGTCTAGTTAAGTTATTTTATCTACCTATCTATTTATAAGTAAAATATAGTTAATAAGGAATGCTTAATTTTTAGTTACTATATTAAGCTTATTTAGAACTTTAATATAAATAGCTTATCTCTATTTATAATAATCTTCTTTAATAGCCTATATTAATTAATAATAACCTTTAAGAATATAAAGGTAATATCTTTTACTATACTTAACTCTTTATATAGTATAAAGTAAGCA